CATATTATAACATTATAAAAATATCAAAACATACTATTATGATAAAAAATAATAACTATTAATATATTATAAGTAATAACAATATTATTTTTATTATTTTTTATTTAGATGAAAATATAATTTCTATAATTAATAAAATATTATAATATAATATAATAAAATTAATTATATTTATGTATTTATATATTTATCTATTTATATTTATATATTTATATTTATATATTTATATATTTATATATTTATATATTTATATATTTATATATTTATATATTTATATATTTATATATATATATATTTATATATTTATATATTTAATATTGAAAAGTATAGTGAAAATTCTTGATTTAAAGTTCTTATAAATAGATTATGATATTTTTAGTGAATTTAAATTAAAAAATAAAAGGTAGATATAGTTTTAGTTATATTATTTTTATTTTTATATTTTAATTTTAAATTAAAAAAAAAGTTTTTACCCACCCGCAATCGCCCGCAAACACAAACGCTAGCTGAAACCAGCTTTTGATTTTAAGAGGTTGGGAGCGGTTTGAAGCGATTTGTAGCGGTTTTTGTGATTGTTGCAAAACGCTAGCAACCGCCATCAACCGCAAAAGCTACGTTTGCGGGTGGTAGCGGGGAAACCAGTCGGACCCTTAAGAAAACAAAAACAAAAATTTAAGCACAATCACTTTTTGAATTTGGTTATTTTTAGTGTCTGTTAAAAAAAGTAAAAATAATGATAGCTCGGAACTAAAAATTAGTATATTATTCGAGATTAATTTAAAATAAAGTAGTTACAAATGAAAGATTCTTAAAATTATTGTACTTACGAACATATAATTATGTAATTTTGTATATAGTTTAACAATTAAACAAACAGTTATAGCCGAAAAAAACAATCATACAAATTAAGGATAACCTTTTTTCATTTGTAACTATAAGATATTTTTAATCTGTTTCTAACTAACTGATGGAAGAGAAAATATATTGAAATATATTCTTGTCTATTTCTCTTCATCATACGAAGATTCTAACTATTGATTTTGTCTTCTGGCCTTTGGATATTATGTTAACGGTTAGTTTCATGAATCATTTATTATTTTTGTTCATCTGTGTACCATATACTGTTAGTAAATTCAAAGTTATTTTTATTGCTTGCCACTTGTCATACTAGAATTTTAAATGAGATGATCTTTTGAAAAAGATGACGGCTGTAAAGCATATGCCTAAGTGTGAAGATACAATAAACAATGGCTGTTTTTTTTAGCATATGTGAATATTATTTTTAAAATTTACACTTTTGAAATAATAATGGAAAATTATCTCTTCCATTTTTTCAATTTTTGTAAACAATTGAAATATATCGAGACACTCACCCAAAACATAAAATACCCAAAATTGATGTAGAATGAGGAAAAACAACGTCGTTAACGAAAAATGCAGGAAGAGGAGGCAGCTCACCAAACCATTCGGGGCATAGTATTAACTTCTTTCCAACTTTTACATGCTCATTTCTTAAACTTATTTAGTTATCTCGTTTTCTATGAATTGCCATTTGATCTGTAACCTTGTATGCCAAATGTTTCTGATGAGATCTTAAACAGTGAGTTGTCTTCTTGTGTGGGTATGCTATAATATAAAGCTATTTGTATATGACCACAAATTGACATCCATATATATGATTTTGCACATCAACCCATGTAACATCATATTGGCCCAACATGATCATAATAGGGGGGGAAAAGAACAACGGAAAGAAAACATAGACATGGCTAGTAGTAAGTTTGGCGGTTTGTGATTTAATAACCAAAAAATATAGTGTTAATACGTGTTTGCTTAGTCAAAAAAGAAAAGAAAGAACATATTTGTATAAATATATATATACTTTACCAGCAAACACCAAATGATTTCTGATCTTGATATCAACAATTTTCTTTTCGCCGTTGAAGTGCTACTGCTTATAAAACAACTGATTGCGTAGAGATACTAAGAATAAAGGTTTATGAGAAACACAAAAATTGTTTGGAAGATTAAGTTAAACTGAAAAAGATGGTGGTTTTACATGAGAGAAATCCATATCAAAACGATTGTGGATTGGGGAGTTAATTATAGTCATTCGATTAACCAAACAGTTTGAAGTCGTGCTAGTTAACTTTGAACGTGTGAATGATAATATGCAATTTTTTAGGAGTTTCAGATATTTTTATCGACTTTTTTTTATAATCAAGTGATAATCTGAAAATTTCAATTTTTTTTTTATAAAATTTTGCCACATGTCAAATTCTGATTCGTCATGTGACTTGCGCTTTAGTATATAAAGGATATGTGATTGACTGGTAAATGGTAACTAATCTGCAAACATATGATGTTGTTTTGGTATGTAATTAGGTTATTTTTCTTGTTTTTTAGTTTAAAGTTATAATTTATTCAGATCAAATTTTTTAGTTTACACATAAAATGCAATATGCATCTATACTATTAAAAGGGAATTATTACCAAAAAAATATACTTATGAAAAGTTGTTAGACCTATTGATTTTTAACCTACAAATTAAACTAAATATATCTAAGCTATTAATATGTTGTATTTTCTATTTTTCTCTTATGTACTCTTGTTTATTATCCTATTTTTGCGGACACCAATATTTTCATATAATGTCCTAATAATAATTCCTTTTTTTGTGCAACTCCTAATAATAATGCCTATTATGTAAGATTCATATTTTGAATCATTATTGAATTAGTGTGTTGGTGTGTGATCTAATCTTGGCTCTTATAGTTTTATTGTTAGTTTTGATTATCTCGGGTAGTTAGGAGTTAGTAGGTGGTTAAGCTGGTTATGTGTTGAACCAGTTAGCTTTAGTTAACTTCTGGTTAAGCGTTGTAAATTTTTGGTTTGTAAAAGGATGCGAGAGAGTCAGTTAGACGCTATGTGAGCTGATAAGAACTTGAGAGAGAGAGACCGAGATCAAAGGCGACAGAGCTCCGGTTGTTCTTCACCGTCTCGATTTGACATCAGTGCTTTGTTCTAATGGATTTGCTAGTTGAGTCTGGCCCCAGGGATTAGTACTCCACATTGGAGTGATACCCTGGGTAAACAAACCTCTTTGTGTATCTTTCTATTGTTCTTGATACTTAGCACATCTCAGATATCTGATCGAAATAGAGATTAATCAAGTCGTAATCAATATTGAGTTGATATTGCTTGGATTCATCTTGAATCCAAGGCGTTCAACACAACACTTGGTATCAGAGCCTCGGTTCATCTCTAGATGAAGAATACAAAGACAATACAAGCGGAGGTGGAGCTATTCAAAGGAACCAGCTACTTCTCGCTATGGACGATTCAACTGATGGCGCATTTCGGTGTATCAGGATTAAAGGAGGTTGTACTCAGCGAAAACTTTGAGATCAAAGTTCAAGAGACCAAAGAAGAAGGAAAGAAAGTGGATGATGACGACTCTGTCTCGTCTGAGATAAAGAAAACTCTTGATCCGGTGAAATTGGAGAAGGATGAGAAGGCAAAAGATATGATCATCATCAACATCGGAAATCAAGTTCTCCACAAGATCAAACATTGCACTACTGCAGCATCAATGTGGACGTCTCTTGAAAGGTTGTATCTATCCAAGTCTTTACCTAATTGAATTTTTGTTCCTTCTTGTTTCTATACGTTTAAGTGTGACAGCTCTAACTCTATTGATATAAACGTAGATGATTTTCTTAAGATTGTTGCAGAGATGGGGAGCTTGAACGTCACTGTTATGATGAGATTCAAGCCATTGTCTTATTGAGTTCCTTTCCTCCCAGCTATGATTAACTTAAGCATATGCTCAAGTATGAGAAAGATTCACTCACGTTGGAGGAAGTCATATCGGCTGCAAGATCCAAGCAAATAGAGATTCAAGAGAGTGGAAAGAGTGAGAAGGGAAGTGATACAGTTCTCTATACCTCAGACAGGGGTAGGAAAAGTAGACGTGGAACTAGGGACTCTCGAGGAAGCAGAGGAAGAAGTAAGTCAAAGACCAGAAAGGTCACATGCTGGTACTGCAAGAAAGAGGGTCATGTCAATGCCGATTTCTATGCAAAAAAGAAGAAATGGAGGAAGACAGTGTGGGAACCGAAATCCACCTACTGTCAAATAATCGTAAAAAAGGAAACTTCGGGAAAACCCTAAGTTTCCAGAGGAACCGGCTATCTGCAGAACCACACAACGAATATTAAGAAAACGATGAACTTTTAAATTAAAACGAAAATAAACGAGATTGAAAGCAAGAAGGTTCTTATTCCGAATCTGCGTAAGAACTGGTACAAAAGAGAGGCCAAAGCTGCGTGAGCCGTCGGCAAAATCCTTAGAAATCTAAGAACGAAAACCCTA